CACTTTTTAGAAGATATTTTGCCAGTACTCCTAGAAGAGATACCGTTACAATTAAGGCAACGGATGTGGTACCTACTAGATGGCGCTCCTCCTCACTTTGATTTAAACGTACGGCAGTTTTTGAACATTAGATTTCCTCAAAAGTGGATAGGCAGAAATGGACCTACTAAGTGGCCTCCGAGATCTCCGGACTTAAATCTATGCGATTTCTTTTTGTGGGGTCACATGAAACAACTGGTTTATAATGAACCTATTAATAGTGTTGAACAATTAACTAATAAAGTTAATGCGGTAGCCGAGGAACTACGACAAAATCCAAGACTAATTTCTAATGTTCCAAGTTCTTTGGAAAGACGATTGCAAGTGTGTGTAAATAATAATGGAGGCATTTTGAACAATTACTGTAATAAACTTTATTTTGAATTAATTGGTTTTGCTACGGCAACAGTGCAATTTCTATGGGTAAGTTCAATTTCGATTTATTTTACTTCTTTAAATATGGAAACTAGTAGGTCGGAAAAGGGGACTCTTCCCCAATATTTAAATTTTAGAATTTGAAGTTAAAATTGGTGCCAATCGTTTTTGGTCATTACATACTATTCCCCATTTTAATATGTACGTGTATTTCAATAACACCCTGTATATTTATTTGAACAAAATATTTAAAAAGAAGGATACGATATTTAAATCAATAGGGTAACGTTTAAAACTTCAGATACTTAATGGCACTCTAAATGAAAACAGTATTGCTGCAATTATTCGTAGAAAAAAAAATATTGAAAACTTGTTTTTTTTTTCTTAATCATATTTTGTAAATTTTCCATCGCCCAAAGAAGCGGTTAATTAACATAAATCACACATTTTGGATATCCATTAGTGTGAAAAAGTTCAATATTTCCCGCACTAGTAGAGGCATAAAATAGTAGTGTGTACAACAAGAGTGGATATGAATAGCCATATCCCCCAATTGTCTGAGTTCGATACGGACAATCTACTCAAGTTATACAGTATATTTTTTCTACGACCCACTAACAAAAATCTAAAAATTTTAAAAAATATTTTAAGTTATTAAAATAAATTAACTAATTTAAAAATAATTTTAAGCACAGATGCTAGATCATAATCTTTTGTCTGCAACAATTTGCTTATTGGATTAGTACAGTTTAAAATTTTATACCGTGAACATAAAAATTTAAATTGTTTAATACAACTTAATAAACCCGAGGCTTCGTCTCTTATTAAATTATCAATTTCTTCATTCTCATGAATGCTTAGGCCGTCGTATACCCCTCCGATATAAAATCTTAAAGGCTTTAAAGCCTCTATCCAACTTTCGCATCTAGTATCACATAATGGTTTTAAAGTCAAACCCTGGACATGTTTTAGAAGAATTACCCAGATGCTTCTAACTTTTAAACTCCTTCTTTGAAAGGGCACTAGATTAGATTAGATTTAATTAGGACTATGGGCCATGTGGCTTCCCCCACCTCGAACTTTTTAGATTTATTGTGGATATCCATTAATCATTGTTTAGAATACCTTGTCTCATTCGGTCTTTTGTAGTAGACTACATAGACTGGGAAGTATGTCTCCGGTATAGCTAGTTGCCCTTGGTGTTTCTTCTCCAAGTGTAAGGAATCTCAGTCATACTAGACCTTCGCAGTAGCAAAATACGTGTTCTGCCGTTTCCTCCTCTTCTTGACAGAATCGGCACAAGGTCTCTTCTGTCAGACCGATTTTGTACATATGTTTGTTAAGCCTACAATGCCCTGTCAATAGACCTACTAGTACTCTAGTATTTTTCCTATTAAGGCTTAGTAGATGCTCGGTGAGTTTAGGCGATGGTCCTTTTAAGAAATCTTTGGCCTATCTCTGTCCTGGTGAGTTTTTCCACCACTCCTGAGATTTTTTAAACATCCACTGCTTTGTGCATGTTCTGATAGTTGTTTTTGTTACACCACAGAAGGGTTCTGGGCCAATAAGAGCTTTTAAGGCTCCTTCTCGGGCTATTAAATCAGCCTCTTCATTGCCCTTATGCCCCCTGTGGCCTGGTACCCAGCCTAAGATTAGTCTGTTTTGATTACCCAGCTCTGTTAGGGCTTCCAAACAGTCCCACACAAGCTTTGAGTGTACCTGCATGGAACTGAGTGCTTTTAACGTCGCTTGACTGTCTGAGTATATGACAATGGTTTTTCCATTTACCTTCTGTCTTAATACTTCTTTTGCGCAGAGATGTATTGCTGCTATTTCTGCCTGGAATACTGTCGCATGTTTATCTAAGCTCAGTGAGATTCTTGTCTTTGGCTTGGTACTATATATACCTACTCCCGAACTTTCATGGGTTTTGGATCCGTCTGTATACCAGGTAAAATCTGTATGAATAGGAGGTCCTCCCGTCCACACTTCCCTGTCTGGTATACTTACTTTATATTGCTTTTGAAAGCTATACTTTGGAATCATTTCGTTTGAAGGCATTCCCATTATTTGGTCGTTTTCCAACTCTTTATATAGCTCGCTGTATCGCGTCCATGCAAACTGCTTATGGGTGATGAACTTTTGTGCAGTCTGTATGTGACAGACCTGGCTTTGCCTTGAATGAATATATGTAGTGGTGTTTAGCATGACTTCTATAGCTGCTGTTGGAGTCGTTCTCATAGCTCCCGTGGATACCATTGAGCTATCGAGTGGCTCCAGCTTGCCGAGTCTTTGGCCACCATACCACCGACCCGTAGGTTATCATCGGCCTTATGACTCTGGTTTATAACCATAGGGACATTTTTGGTTGTAGTCCCCAATTTTTTCCATACAACGTTCGACAAAAGTTGAAGGATGTTGTGCTCTTTTGGGTATCTTTTTGCAAGTGTTGATATCATGTTAACCTGTGATCAAAGATGACTCCCAAGTATTTGGCCTCTTGAGCAAATGGAATCTTCACTCCTTTCAGTACTGGGAACTTTAGTTTTGTTGGTACTTTTCGTTTCGTAAAGTTGACTATTGTGGTTTTGTGAGGGTTTACTGTTAGTTCCTCCTCTCTGCACCACTCGTCAACAATGTTTAGAGCGGTTTGTGTACGCTCCTATATTGTACCTGCGAACTTGCCTCTTACGACAATATTAGCCTTTTTATAAGTTCGTCCACTAGGACTGACTAGAGGAGGGGTACTCTTCCCTGGGGGCACTAAGTACACAACTAAGAATATTGCAACAAAAGCAATATACACAATTAGTTGAAACAGATAACACTAGCCAGTCTCTTAAAATTTGCTCTCCATTACTTAAAATCACACTGATTATTTATATGTAGTGTCCAGGGTTGTAAAAATTCCAAAACTGTGGTTTGTGTTAAATTGTTTGAGTACACTATTTACCCGAAAATCTATTAAGTATACCTGTTAACCATAAATCTTATTTATTAAACCTAGGGGGCAGTAAACAAACGGTAATGTTTTGCCTATTCGAACAGAGGTGCTAGAAGTTATAATTTTTATTTTTCTGTCTGTATACAGTGCAGTATAAAAATCATAAATTTCTTACATCGAGTTATAACGTTTTGAGGTCCCCTGAATCCGTTTTGACCATTCTTGCAATGATAAGTTTGAAATTTAGGCTTTAAACATCTGGGGGAGGGGTACATAATACATTTTTGTACTTTAAGAAATATATCTGTTATTTACCCTTGGAGAAGAAAATTCTTCAAATAAAAGTTGCTTGTAATATTATTTTCTATCATTTTCGTAAAATGGTCTGTATTCGAGAAATTTGACAAAAAGTGTAAAATGTAAATGTAAAAAAAAAAATAATCAAATAAAAGTTGTTTGTGATGTCATTCTCTTCAAAAAAATTTATACATGATTTCCCTACAATTTTAGGAAAAGTGTAAAAAGATAAGGGAGCATATAACTTTAGGTATGACAGAAAAGTCATGTGTTGGACACATGAGATTTTTTATTAAATTTATTTGATAAAAAATATTTTGATTTTTTTACTCGATCGTAAATAGGGTTTTCTTTATAGAATATGGAAAAAAGGAAGGCATCTCTAAAGGATTTTTTTAAAAAAAAGTGAGAAGCCCACACGTTCAGTACCCGAATCAGTACCTTCTACTAGTAGTTCTACAACGAATATAGACTCTAATCCATCTACTTCTACTTCTAAAGAAAGTATAGAAACCTCTTTGTTGACGTTTGTTTCTGCAAATCAATTCAAACACAATCGTACTTTCCAATTATCATGGCTTAAAAATACGAAAGATTGGATTATGTAGAAACAGAAGAGAGAGTGTTTTGTAAAATATGCCGTACTATGAGGGCTAAAAATATTAATTATCCCTGCCCATCGTCAAGAGAACAGTTTTTAATGCGGATAATTTTTACTTTCAAATTTGAATAGCCCCGCGCCTTTCTCTTCTTCTTCTTTTTATTATTTTCTCTTCTTTCATATGGCCTCTTACCACACAAGGACTTAATTGAAAAAAAAAATCAACCTATATAGATGGAAAAAGAGTACTTTCTTGTAAAAACAGTGATAAGAAATGTTTTTACAAATGAAAGGCGGCATGCTATTATTATTAATATTTATAATATTTTGTACAGTGATATTCTGACAGTGAAAATGCCGCCCCTAAGATTTGCCATCACGGACAAATGTCCGGGTTGTCCAGCCTTGGAGCGGGCCCTACTTGGACATAAATTATGGCACTGCGGCAAACGTGGATTTGATTTTAATTGTGTAGATGTCCCTGAAAAAGTCATAAAAAACAGGGATATGATTATTTTTATTATATGGGTCATCCCTCTAATAACTTTATCACCGATTCTTCTTTGTACTCATCATTAATTTCGTCTTCGCCTACTTTCCTGTATACTTTCCTAATTTCCTCTTCCGTTGAGACCGGAATGAAAATTTGAGGTTCGCGACGATCTCTGGCGGCTAGCTTATCGGTATCGGAATACCGCTTCGCGATTGTTTCAGTTTCAATTCAGTAACTGATCAAAGGCGGATCTAGGAATCTAACGGAGTACGGAGTGTAAACCGTAAGGTGCATTTTCAGATTCGTGAAATAGATAGTTTGTCGGTTTTTTCAGCAGTGACTTTGAAATTTAAAAGTTCGCGCGTTTGACTGTAAAATAATTTAATTATTTGCATGTGAGTACACATTTTATTTGAATTAGTTTTATAGTATTTAAAAAGACTGATTATTTTTATTGTATTCATTCATATTTCTCAGTTTTTCTCATTCACAAAAATTGGAACATTTCAAATAAAGTAATCCAGCAATAAAACTTGATTTTGGGTCATGAGACTTCCGTGTTTTTTTTTATAATTCGTAATCTTTTTTCTTTTGGCCATAAATATTTAAATGTAGGTAGGTAGATATAGTTTTTGTTTCTGTATATTTTTAATAGGAACTTGACATGGTAATTATTTATAACAAAAAAAAGTTGAAATGATTATACAGAGTATCCCATTAGTGCGTAATTGTTAGATATTTTAATTTGTGTTATAGACAAGCAAAAAAGTTTTATATAAAAGTTATATAGATTTGAAAAAGCAATTATTTTTTTGTTTGTGAAATTAGAGATGATGCAGTCTCTAAATTAAATTAGTATAAATTTAGATCGGTTGTCAATGATTTTAAAATTGTTTTATTTATATACTTATTAGATACCAAACTAACGAATGGTGGTGATAGAACTGATTCATTTTATACGGAGTGTTTTGAAACCTGAAACCTCTCATAAATATGGCTCATTTTAGGTTAAGTTTACTTAGTTTTTTTAAATGCAACATTATATTGTTTTAGCGTTAAATTATTTCTGAATTTATCTATCTATATAACAATACCAACTGTTGGACTATTATTTACGTACAGCCAGGGGCGTATATACGGCGGGGTAAGGAGGCTAATGAGGGCAATGGGATAATGGGGGTAATTAGGTAAATTGGAGCAATGTAGGTAATGAGGGCATTGTGGACAATGGGGACAATGGGGGTAATGAGGTTAATTACATTGTGTCGTTGATCTATTTTGTAATAAAACGATATAGTTCTTGAAATATATTTTTTATAAGGATTATAGGTAACCAAAGGACAAAATATTGTTACACTAGTTTTTGGTATCACAATTTATTTCAACTCAACTTTAATAATAATTATACAACTGATAACATTAACGAGTAATGTCTATCATAAAACTGAAAACTGACGTCAGGATCATCCTTATATAGCTTGCTTCACCATTCTCGAACCTTCTCGAACTGTCGTCTAGAATATTCTTGACGGGTAATGACATTTCTGGACTATTCTATCTTCTTTTACTTGTACTTTTACTTATGACGACCGCAGCATACGGTAAGGCGATTAGTGGCATTCCACTTCTTTTTCTATTCGTACTCCAGGGTGCTGTGTAACAATATTAATTATTAGGTCCATGAAGTTAGCATCACCAAATGCGAATTTTTATAAAAATAAGTTGGCATTCGTTTGTTTACGATTGTCCAACAAGAATTTTCGTTTATCCACCCTTCAAAAAAAGTTATAGTAAAATTAAAAATTTGAGCCAAATTACACATCAGCAATGCCATACATTTTTTTTGATAATTTCAAAGTGGCGTACAATTGTCAACGATTTGTCACCGGTGTAAATTTTATACCGGTGTAATTTTTAGCAGTAAAAACAACCAAAAATACCAGATCGGGAAAACAGTGACGTCCGGCATACAACTATTTTAATAATCTTGTCAATTATTTTTCACATTAATATCGACAAATAATTAATATACGGCTGAAAATAACCCTTAAAATTAATAAAAATATTTATCTTACGAAGGAAATCAGATCGCAATATAATTTTACATTTAAAAAAAATCATAAATACACTAACATACGCTATAGGTAAACATTTCTTCGGATCCGTTGAACATTGTAAAATTACCCCATAATTTTCATAAAATAATTATCATATGAAGTGTATTAAACAGGGTGAATTTAACCCTTAAACTTCAAAATAAATATTAATCCTATGAAGTCGACCAGATCCCAACTTGGTTTTACATTTCAAAAATCATAAATACACTTACTAAAATATGCTACAAGAGATAATTCCTTCGGACCCGTCAAACAGGGAGAAATTAACCCTTAAACTTTAAAATAAATAATTACTTAATGAAGACGATCAGATCCCAACTTGGTTTTACATAAAAAAAAGCATAAATAAACTCATCAGAGTACACTGTAAGCGAAAATCTCCTCCGACCCGTCAAACAGGGTGAAATTAACCCTTCAACAATAAAATAAATAATTACCCTATAGGTTTGATCCAACAACGATCTTGGAACAATACATAAACCAGTCCAAAACTTATTGTTGACAATCTGTCAATGACTAGTAAGTGACAACTTGTCAGGTACTGGTCGGGGATTGGGACTCAACTCGGAACTCGATTATGTTGGAACACATTTTTTAAATTCAACAGACGCATTATTACAATAATAAACCACAAAATAAAATAAATGATCATGAACAAAAACTATGAAGACTAAGCTCGATTAACAAATACAAATCAGAACTGTCAGAGACAATAGATACAAATAATATAATTACAATCACGAAATGTTCAGTTTATTGCGGCTTTGCGCATGTCTTGACAATTCGTTCCTATTCAGATCCAGGAACTGATTTGACAGTACACAAATCGGTTTGTGATTAATTTTGGTTGTGTTGGAACACTATGTTCTGTACAGTTTCGAGTCTAAGATTTGTTGGAACACAAATTCTAGACTGCGCAGAATCCCGACAATAAACAATCTGATTTGGTTTATGTTGGAACAAACCTTATGAAAACGATTAAATCCCAACTTGATTTTAAATTTAAAAAAATACTAAATACACTTACCAATGTACACTGTAAGGATGAATCACTACTGACCCATCAAACAGGGTAAAATTAATCCTTAAACTTCAAAATAAATAATTACCCAATGAAGACGCTTAGATCCCAACTTGGTATTACATTAAAACAAGCATAAATATACTCATAAAAGTACACTGTGAGCGAAAATCTTTTCCGACTCGTCAAACAGGGTGAAATTAGCCCTTAAAGTTCAAAATAAATAATTACCCAATGAAGACGATTAGATCCCAACTTGGTATTACATTAAAACAAGCATAAATATACTCATAAAAGTACACTGTGAGCGAAAATCTTTTCTGACTCGTCCAATTTTAGTAATATAATATGTACCTACCCTATATAATTAATTATTTCAAACATAAATAAAACCAACAACTATTATCTGAGTCTTTTTATATAGTTCCGATTGGTTTTGACAGAGTAGTTTTGATCATGGTTTTCTTCCATCTACTTTTAACCATAAAGTCATACCTAGCTGAATTTTTGGTCTTTTTAAACTTTTGACTGTAGCGGGTCATATTTTTAATGTATGTCATCTGCAGCAGAAAGACCTACATGTTTTACATTTAAAAGTAATTAATTGTCCTTTCTACAAACTCGGCTGTATTTTTACTGAAATATATTTATTCACAATTCACGTAGTGGTTTGGTTTTTGGTTTGGTAATTTGATGTCATAATTCTCCTCATTGTAAAATTTTGACATTGGCAGCTTTGATCAAGACAAGAGAGTCCTTGAACGAAAAATCGTAGTTCGGGTTTTAGTTTTAAAGCACAAAGAGATTAACAAATCTGATGCGCAGTGTTATTCGAACGTTGATTTTCGATCAAACAGGTCATATATCGGACGGTTTCGGCGAATACAGAACAATATAATAATATTAATCTCTTTTATGGTCTTGGCATTGGCTTGGTCGGAAAACGGTTAATAAATAATAGTAAATAGTGTAGAAGTCATAATTGCGCAATGTCATCAAATTAATTTCGAATCGATCATGTTGAAACAAATCTTAGGTAAGTGAGTCATTTAAAAGTTGTAATGGGGCATGTTCAAAAATTTTGAAATTTTTTTTATGAATAATAGAGTTGAAAATAAAACTACATTTTTTTTATTTTTTTTATCTATTCATTTGCCGGAGTTATGAATTTTTTTAAAATTTATGACGTCACCGGGAATAGACCAATAGGAGCTAGCGCACAACGTTGCCGGCTAGAAGGTTTACGAGAAGTATTGTACGTTCGTTTGTGTACTCCTTCTTAATTTTAGACTTCTAAAACATTGTTAAACAAATATCTTTTAAATACATAATATCAAATGTTTTTTGAAAGTATTATTTCTGTTTAAACTTTTACCATATTTAAAGTTTCATTGTTTTAAAAGTCACTTAATAATTCAGAAAATGGCAAAATGGCAGCACTGTGTATGGCATCTGTCTCTGTCATAGTGTCTCGATCAAGAATTTATTTGGAATTTGAGTGTTTAATTTTGTACTTTTTATAAATATTATGACTACGAAAAAGTGTTTTGTTCCAGAATGTGATAATGATTCACATTCATCTTCAAAAATATTTATTAGTGTTCCTAGAAATTTGGAAAGAAGAAAATCAACCTTCTACTGGCGATGTTTCTCGTGAACTTTTTAATAAAAATACACCGGATTATCAAGATGTAGTAGCAATTTCTGCGAATTGTCCCCTTCAGGAAATTGAAAATGAGGCTACTATAAATTCTTAGGTGTATAATCTAAAAACCCTTCTGGAAGAAAATGCAGAATCTCCTGAAAGTTTTGAAGATACCGAATTTATTCATCATTTTGTGGAAGAACTAGTGATAAAGAAATAATAGAAAAATGTGGGTATTTAAACAAACTGGTTCCTGGATCCCATATAATGGCAGATAGGGGTTTCAGAATATTCAGCTACTTGAAAACATGGGATGCACTTTAGTAAAGCCACACCTAGTGTATCACAGAATGAAAAAAGTTCTCCAGAAGATGTACAATTAAGTAAAAGAATAGCATCTCTAAGAATACATACATGTGGAAAGAGTTATAAGAAGGGTTAGTTAATTTAACATGTTAAAACCACATTCGTGTGTCAATTTTAAGCAAGTACATTTACTTAGTAATATCTGCATAATTGCTTGTTAACTTACAAGAACCTATTTTGTAAGAGTAAATATTAATTTAATAAACTTTTTTGTTTGTTTTTTAATTTAATTTACCTAATTATCAC